TTTATCAACAATTTGCGTCTCATGTGGGCAGTTACGCTTAGCCGAGGCCCTCGACTGCCCCATGCCCCTAAGCCCCGCCCTCTGTTCTCTGCTCTTGCATTTGCCTTGGAGGTTAGCTGCATTCACTGGGGCTCGTTGTTGCCTTAACTTTTGCTATCTATGTTAACTCAAGCGCCACACAGCTTTGCCCCATTTTTATAGGTCAAACGTTGCGCACGACTCCTGCCAGTTTTTCTACCCTACACACTTGCCTTTTACTCTTTTCCTCCTATCCTCTGTGTTATACTTCGCTCTTCTTTTTTTTTGCGTTTTACTCCCGTCTGGTTTTTCAATAGTTTGGCACTTACTAATTGCATTGCCCTAATTGCCCAAGTTGCGCTTGAATTGTGCCCGAAAAAAAAGAACCATATTGAAGCAAGGGAATGCTAAAAAGGGAAGTAGAAGGTCCCAGAAAAAACCCTAGAGTAGTATATATGCTTTTACTATGCTGTAGATCTTTTATAATCTATTGAAGTTTAAAATTACTGCACTTTAAAGCTTAAAAAAAGGCTAAAAACTATCGATATTTATCGATTTTGATAAAAACTAGAAAAAACACCTCGTATACCATAATATTTGCGCTATATTTATCGTACATGTTCTAGCTTCTATCAAAACTCCTTCTCTATATGCTCATTTACAGGGTATACTATGTTGGTGCTTCTGTTAAACGTTAAACGGAATGCCTGAATGTTGTATTGTCTTCTATTTTCTTTTTTTTTGGGTGAGGGCAACAGCAAAAACTCTCCGGAATTGTTGAATTGTTGCATGGCTGAATCTGATTTCTGTTTCAGTTGCTTTTGCCCTGCAGCCAATCAAAATGCCTTGCATGAAGGCTAACAACATGAATATGCTCTCTGTGTTTGTGTATCTGTGGGTGTGCATACAACTATGAGTGCTGCATACATGTAGGTGTATGTGTGTGTGAGTGTGTGTGTGTGTGTGTGTGCTAACTGAAGTCCATTTGCAGTTTTGTGAAATACATTTTTAATGAGCGCACATCAACAGAACAGGATTTTAGGATTAGCTCTTGGCCAAAATGCAGAATAACCCAAATTGCATTTGCAAAAATGTTGGCCATGGAAATGTTACTCTAAACGAGCTAAACCATTATCGATTGCTGTGAAAATAAATGCTCGAAAGACTGTTGCAGATTGATCGATATGGATATGGATGCTATTCTATAGATGAGCTTATAAATATGTCATCGATATCGTATAGAATGAGCTTATAAATATGTTATCGATATAGTATATGTTATCAATAGTTTATGTAAATAGAATGAGTAGTAAGACTTCTCCAAATCAATTCGCAAATCATATCGCAATGATTTTTAAGCATTTCAATTTATCGATAACTCACTTTTCCCCACTGTCTATAGTGTAGTATATTCTCTTTATTGCATCAATCTACAAATCATCTCACAGTGATATCAAAGTACTTCGAATGTAAATACACAATTTATCGATAAATCACATCCCCACTGTCCATAGTGGCTATTCTCTTTATTGCATCAATTGTTAATGAATTAATAGATGAAATCGATAAATAAATATATATATATAGCTACTGTTCTATAGAAAGGCGAACAGCTCTGATGTATGTTATCGATAACTTATTTGATTATAAGGAGAACACATTTCGCTAAATCAATTCACAAATCATCTCGCAGCGATATCCAAGCACTTTGAATTTAAACATGCAATTTATCGATAAATCACTTAAATAGTACTATCAATGTCTTTAATAGAGCATTTTCCCAACTGACCATCAACAGAATTTCCCCAGCTGCTGCTGCTGCTGCTGCTGCTCTGCTGCACTCGCCGCTCTCTGTGTTTTATTATTAAATTCTTTGGTGGTTCGTTTTCATTGGCATTACGCGTGCAATTTTCGCACGTGGAATTTCGCAATATAATGTCGAGCAGCAGGTGAGCTGCGGTCGGCGTACACACACGGCGCGGGGCGAGCGGACGAGCGGGCGGGCGGGGGCGACGCTGTGTGGCTGCTGCTGTTGATTAAATTCCGCTGATTGGCGTTCCATGTTGTCATGTTGTTTTGGCCCGTGATTTTTCCGGTTGACCTCTACAACTTCGAATGCTTCGAAGCTGCTCGACTGAGTGCTCCGACGGCTCCGACGGCGCTTCGCTGACTTTGCCAATTTTCAGGGCCCATCATTTTTGATGGGCATTTTAATAATGCAATTGCTCTCACAATTTAACGACTCGCTGCTGTCGCTGCTGCTGCCACGCCCAGCGTCAGCGCCCACACACATTTCATAATGTAAATAAATTAAGCTGTTGAAAAATTCGGCTCGTCTGAGGGACAGGCACTTAGTGGAAAAGCTTTTCAGTTTTCCTAGTTTTCCTACACATTGTCTTTGTGTGAGAAGCAATGTTATAGCGGAAATTACTTATCTGGGATTATATATTATGTATATATACGAGGGTAGTTTAATTAAATGAATCAGGGTTTAAATATTATACATATGTATATTGCTTCTCTCATTATATATTTCTTTTCATTTCTTTTCTTTTATGTATACCAGATCATCATCTCTTCTATTTATTTGGCTACTTTTTCGAGCCACCCTCGTTTTATATACTTCTGCTTTTCCAAATTTTGTTTTTTAATTTTGTTTAAAAATAAATTTTGAGTTGAAAAATTCATTTTTGTTTTTCTTTGGAAATGTGACGCGATTTAATGAGAGCAAATATTCATATACATATACATATATAAATGTATATATGTAGAGTATCTATGAATATATCTATATCGTATGTTCATGTTCATCTTTATAATTAGTTTTTCTTATATTTATATATCTAATGTTTTGGTTATTTATTGCCTGTGATTTATAGCCTATAGAGAGTTGAAACCAAACACAGAAGTGAGCAATAATCACGTGTAGAGACAGATACACACACACACACCCACACACACCCACCCAGACTGATATGACATCCACCCATACACACACACACACACACCTTAATCGTCGAGGCGCCATCGATTCCGACTTATTGATTGTTAATGAAATTGTAATTATTTGTATATATTGTCGAATGTTTATAGTAGTAGTAGCTGAGCGATAAGCACCGTACTCTTGCATTTGGGGCAAATTTTATTAGGGGGCGTGGCAGCGCAGCTGGAACTAAAGTATTGCGGTTGGTTTTAAGCAGTGCTTAGACAAAATTGTCGCCTTAGGCAAACATATTAAAGGCGGGCTCTAATTAGCTATTTACAGAAGGCGAATGGATAACAAGCTGGAAACAAGCTAAAAATAACAATGGCAATTGGTGAGAAAACACGACACGAAAAGGGCAGAGCTCCTTATCAGATATAGAGCATTAGATGCGAGGCTTGATGGGGAGCCTAAAGTAGAAGATATTTGGATATACTTAGCGATTATTGAGCTCTGTAATATAGAAGTCAGCTTAGTTACGGAATGTCTGTAATATGTGCCAAATACTATGGTATACATACAATATATAAATCGATTTCTTCTTCCATAAGTTGTCTGGAAACCAGATCAAATCATCTGCGTTATCGGAATTGCCCTTTGATATTGATACTAATCTTTCTATATGCATATTAATATGGATTAGTCAAAATTCGAATATCATATATATCTTGCTTCTCGACTATACCCTGTATTCGTATATAGGCTAGGTTCTATATTTAACATGCTCAGTTCCATATTCCAAAGTCTTCGTACATTCAAGAATTATCGAGAAGCTCAAGTAACTGGTCTACATATTAACAACTGCAAAGTGCACAATGAACTTGGCAAATGAAAAACAGTTTGTCACATCTGAAATAGACCCATAAAAAAAAGTAACATAAAATTTGGACAATAGAAAACGTATAAAAGTTTAAATATGGAATATTTTAATGCGACTTGTTCGTGGAATTTTAAATAAGCTTTTAAGCAACTGAGATATACACTACAAATGGAGAAATGTCTATTTCATAAAAAGGAAATAGCGTATATGATCCTAACTCAGTTTTTACTGAATATGAATATACTAGAGTTAGCCATATATACATAAAATCTTGCTGCATATCTGATCATCTGCTGTCGCTTCTTGTCATTTGCGAGTAGTCTGTAGTAAAACAGTAAACCTTGCCCATAAGCCTAATCTATGAATGCCACAAACAACGTCAGATGCGAGAAGAGTAATCAAAGCTGTCCATATTCTTATCTTTATGCCAAAATAATTGGAGCTGGTCTGGTAGTAAGGTTGATTTTAGTGAGTAGCAATGATGCCGAGGGCAGGCTAAAGAGTTGGCGATTATAATAATCTTTAAACACACCTCGTATATCTAAGTATGTACTCGTTCCATAAATGTTTTCAATACTCTGCATTTAGTTAGTTCTACAACAAATTAACCAAGCAGCTAGAGCAACGGCATTTGTATTGGTAAACTGGTAAAACTGTAGTCGTGCAATTGCTAAATACATTATTTTGGTCATTTCATTGTTGCTCTTGTTGTTGTTGCTGTTGTTGTCAACTTTGTTGTTCATCGTCTGCTGCTGTTGCTGCTGTTAAATTTAAACTCTCTGCGCTATTTGCCTGCTGCTGAAGGTGAATTTATGGCGCACACATGTGTCGCTCGATTGTCTCCGAGCTACCTCAGCAGAGTGTCTGCGTCTCTCGCTCTAGCTCACCTCTCTCCCTCTCTCTCTCTCTCTCTCTCTCGCTCTCTCTCTCGCTCGTTCTCACTTGTGACATATGTCGTCGCTGTATGCCAAAAATAGATGCATTTCGAAATGTAGGGGGCAATATTTTTTTTCTGTTTTACAGACGACGACGAAGATCAACAGCAGTAGCGGCAGCAGAAGCAGCGGCAGCGGCAGCTAAGAGGCTGTCTCTAGGTCTGCTTCTAGCAGCGCGCTCTTTCACACAAGCAAAACTAATTCTCTCTCTCTTTCTCTCTCCCACTCTCGTTCTCTCTTATAGAACTAGCATTTCAAAAAAGAACGCACACATACGGAAAGGCCAAAGCAAAAAGAAGAGGAAACTGGAAGGCAGCGTGAATTGGATGTGACGTGACACGGTCGATAAATATCTACAAATATATATATAATATATACATACATATATATATCGATATATTAATGCGTGTTAGACTAGAACAGAGAAACAGCAGCAGCAGCAGCAGCAGCAGACGACGCACCAGCAGAGCCTAAACTCTACAATAAGGAAATAGCTGAAACAGAAGCAACTACTTGCTCTCTGTATATATAAATATATATTAGGAACTATTTTCACCCCCCGGAGTTAATCGATAACAGCTTCAAGATTCTGCCCTTCGGTGCCAATTTTCGTCTGGAGACGACACCAGCCGAGATGCACAAAATAGCAGCCGCGCCAGCCGCGGCTACAGCGCCGGCTGGAGCATTGGAGGCACCGCTGGCGGCCCCCAAATATGGCACACTCATACCTAATCGCATATTTGTGGGCGGCATAAGGTAAGCCAATGAAAATACTATAGAAAATATCAACAAAATACTGCAAAAATACCGAAAAAATACCAAATCCAAAACAATTATTTTACCCCATTGCAGTGGTGACACCACCGAGGCGGATCTGACGCGCGTCTTCAGTGCCTACGGCACCGTAAAGAGCACAAAGATCATCGTGGATCGTGCCGGCGTCAGTAAGGGCTACGGATTCGTCACATTCGAGACGGAGCAGGAGGCGCAAAGACTGCAAGCGGATGTAAGTCGAAACTGAGCATTAACTACTGCACTCTTCTATGCACTTTTGCTAATGTCGCTTGTGTTTATCGATTTATGATTTATCGAGAAATATCCACACACACCACACACACACACACACATACCTACATACACACTTAAACACATATATTTTAAACTCGCTCTCACTCTCGAACAGCTGCAAAAAAAAAAAAAAAAAATACATATAAAAAAGTTATAATGTGCCTCCGAATCTTTTAGGGCATTAGCTGACCCACAGACAGCGACGTCTCGCAACCAGCGTGTGAACGAATATTTATCGTTTATTCGATATATCGATTGTGTGTATCGATCGACGGTACGAGTAACGGCACTTGTAATTCTCTTATGTATTTTACTTGTATTTTTCTTCTAATTGCGTTTTTGTTGAGTTACGTTTACGAGTTACGTTTCCGTTGCGTTACGTTGCGTTACGTTGCGTTACGTTACATTACATTGTATTACAAATTCATCACACACACACCCACACCACCCACACACACACACACACCTGTACACTTAACATAGTTTTAGTGAATCGAATTGCATTTGTTGGCTCGTTAGCTCGACGGCCGTCCCGTTGATATTGATTTGCTATCGATACCTGTGCTATCGATAACAATCAAGTTGCGTTTGGCGTTGCGTTGTGCACCTGTTCTAATTTCTTTTTCTTTTATCATTTAATTGTATTCTCTCTGTTAACTTTTACTATGCGCAAATTAATCAAATTAGCTAATTGCCCACGCCTCGGTCTTGTTTAAATAGTGTAAATGCGTATATAGCGTAGACCTCATATATATCTAGATCTTTTTCTATATATATATATACATTGTATATGAAGCTCTAGACCCTAGTGCATTATTTATTTCTTTCTGCTGTACAATTTGATGCGAAACTTTAATCATTTTTATTTTGCGATATTTTTTATACTAATTATCATTGTGGTGGGCTGAGGGCAGGGGCGTGGCAGCTTGTCAGTGTGTGGGGGATATCTATGGCTGAATTACCTGCTGCATAACCCTATCCATAATCTTCTCTAAGATTCACAGGGAAAGAGAGAGCGAGAGAGTGATAATAATGCCTCTTAACACCTTCTCCAACACCGTGACACCCTCATCTCGTTCCAAGCTCTCCATTACAGTCAAATCTTCTCTCAGCTTTACTGAGAATAGAGTGAACCCTATAATAAAACCCACGCAGTCTGGTTGCCCTCTTCAATTACCCGGTATTACTCATCCCCCAGTTCACCTTATATATACCTTGTCGGTTTCATAGAGCGCCTTATTAAGACGCGACACTTCTTCCTACACTTGCCTTTACCTCCATTAAAAACCTAGTGTCTCCTATAATATTTCCCACTTTCACTTTCCTCTACTCGAGTCGAGTTTTCTATATATAGTCAGGCTTATGTGTGCTTTGATCTGCTTCACAAGTACATATATATATGTATATATATAGATAGAAAGGGAACCGAGTTTGTAGGTAACACCCTCTGTCAGCCATCTCACCTCCCAGCCCGTCCCTTGCTCTTGCTGCATTCTAACTAAGTCTAGTTCAAGCTATTGTCCCAGAAAGAAACTAATCGACCAACAAATTTCCCAATAAACCCACGAGAAATACCTTTGTTACCGTCCTTTTACTTTTCTCGGCCTATTTCCTCTCTACCATTCCGCTTGCCTCCTCTCGTCTCTTCGTCTTCCAAGGCTAGTTCCTAAATATAGCCAAGCCATTGTCTGATTCTCGCAGCTGCATAAAGAGAGAGAGAGGTAGAGAGAGGCACTTTTACCTTGTTCTTTCCCCCTCTCCCTCTGGTTGCTTCCAGGTCTAGTTCCTAAATAAAGTTAAGCTTCTTTTCTCGCTGTCATAGCGCGAAAGCCTTATTAGAAATCGTATTGCATTTTGATTAGAGCGTGTTGCATAACAACCTCAGCTGAGCAGCTGCCAGCAGCTACATCTCTGTCGCCTCTCCCTCCCTCTGCCCCTTTGCATCCCTTTTGTGTCTTCTTTTGTGTTTCCTCTCTGCACGTGTGTGTGTGTGTGTGTGTGTGTGTGTGGCATACATTAAGTGAAAAAGTTTTCCACTTGTCATTAAATGTGCATTGTTATTGCGCTGCTGGCGCTTTGCACATTTTCAGTGTAACACAAACACACTTACACACACACACACAGCTCTCTGAATATGTGTGTGTGCTTGTCCTTGTCTACTTACATATATGGCTGCCATGCCCACACTCACTAAACGCCCATCTCCTTAGGCCAAATAACAATGGAGCCTTGCCAACCAGCCAGCCAGCCGTGGCAACGTTTAACGAGGTTTTAATGCGAAGCAACACCAACCAAGCAAACCACTCACACACACAGACACACACACACACACAGACACTCACACACACAGACACACACACACACACACACACACACACACATGCATCTATATATACATGCATTCTACGCACGCACACACACATGCTTACATTTTGCACTAATTAAATTTCGTTTAACCAAAATTTTCTGTTCAAGTCTAGCCTATAGCAGTACCCCCAAATAGAGTTTAGCCTGGTCTCCTGACATATATATATATATACCCAACAGCTAACATTACAAATATACCTCTTACACACTCTCATCACACACACACACACACATGGCTCATTGTTCCCTTGACATTTACTAAATGTTTTGGATAGCCCATTAAATGCATTAATTTGTAGAGGAACTATTACAAAGGTGTAATAAATATACGATATTCTTGGGAACAGAATCGTAATAAATACAACAGGCTGGAATTTGATATCGATATAGCATATATAGAATAAATTCTATATGTTCAGAACTCTACAAATTCAATATTTTCGAATACTATATTGAATACTATAAGCTGTTCCACGTAACCTAAATTTGTCATGAAAGCAGGAATAATCGATCTGAATTGAAATCGAAAAATAGAAATTAAAAAATCTATATCTATAAGAAATTAAAAAAGCTATACATCTATGTGAGTTTTATATGAAAGGTCTAATCTATTTCATCTTTCAATTAGAGCATAAGGAATTGAAGCCAGGAATATGAAACTAGAAATAATTCTATTCGAAATAATATTGTAAAGCTAAGAATCATTCGATGCAGAAATTAGAAAAGATTCGCAAGAATTAAGCCAAAAGATTAATGCCGAGATTGAAGCAGGATGATGCCTGAGCAGCTAATTAGTAATCCCAATAGATCGAGATTCGAGTTTAGTTTCAGATGCGAATTCAGCAGACGTTGAAAGCATATTAAATGGAAGCAATAACTGAATGATTAAATAAGAACTACACGCATCAATAAACAAACGTGACGTACCATACACACACACACACACACACACACGTACCCAACACATACGTAGCATCACATACACACTTAAGTACACACACTTGGACCTTTTCAACGACCTTTCCCCACTTCAGAAGGCAAATGAAAAAATTGAATTGTAACTTTTTGAAAAGCGTTTTTTTTTTTAATGTAAATAGGATTATATTAATATGAAATATATATGACCGATCATCACAGAGGAGGTAGTGGTAGGAGCTTCAATTTGCTGTTTGCCACACTTTATAAATGGACCAGTAAAACGTCTGCTGTTGTCCTTTTTGTATGCGTGTGTGTGTGTGTGTGTGTGTTGGCAACAAAGGAGCAGCAGCCCCCGCATTTGAGGCTCGTTTTGAGGGTTCTTAATTAAATTCGCCCAAGACAAAAGTGGGTCGTCCTGCTGCTGCTGTTCGGGCGGCCAACTCTTTTGCCTTTGCCTTAGCCTTTTCTCATTTTTATTATTCAACTGTGTGTGTGTGTGTGTGGGTCGGCCTTTTGTGTTGCGCAGCGCTTATCCTTGCTGACGTCCTTTATGATGGTGCTCAAATGAAAAGACGTCGCTGCGCTCTCTCTTCGCCTCACCAGCTGGCTAGCTTCCCCCACTCTCTCTCCCTCTCCCTCCCCCCCTCCATTTCTCTCTGTGTGTTTGCCCGGCGGCGGTCAAAGAAGGATACAGCAGGCTCGAGTCTCGAGACTCGCAAATGAATAAAAAATTTGAGGCGGCACAAGTCCGTCGCTGCAGGAACTTTAAGAAGAGCGCAAACATTTGCTTAGGATCTGCCCGGGCCAACCACCCACCCAACCGCCAAGCGAATGTGGTCGAGCCAGTCGCTCGCTTGAAGTGCGTGGTGCGCCCATTATGATGGCCTTTCATGCATTTCAAGTGCAAATTGCTGCGGCTATCAGCGCCTAATTGGCAATTAAAGATAAACCTGACCCATGTAACCAACCGCAACTGACAGCCGGCGACAGACAGGTACAGTGGACGCCCATCACAATGGCCAGACAGAGCCTTATCAATAGCTAGAGTATAATACTTAATGGCATATGAAAGCGACATCTACAGTGGAGGGTGACCACAAAGGGGCAGATGAAAGAGACTTTAGATTAGTCTGTTCTTTCGTGCAACTAATACAACAAAGGAGCCTGGGAAAGTAAAATAATAGTATTTGTCCGCCTATTCAGAGCGAAAACATTTGAACTCCCTTTAATAGTCATATTAAATTACTTTTTACTAGCTGGGAGCTCCTTGTATTATACTAAGTAATTGTCAAATGAGTGGCAACTCTTTATAGAGTATATTAAAAGCGCCGAAATCGAAAGCATATACCTATACCTATACCTATACCTATCCTTATAGTCGGACATAACTTCGTAAAGAGCATAAAACTAAATATTTAGTACTCTGGCAACCCTATTAGTTGCATATGCTGATTGGCAACTCTATAAATGAGCTAGGTGGCAACGCACAAATGGCAAATTAATTACTTATTAAAACAATACTTTGTTTATAGTTGGTAATTGCAACTAGTCTGTCCCAAAGACGCGTCTTACAATTGGGGAAATATTTGTTGATTTTATAGACTCCAATCATATTCATACGAATGCCTGTGGCTAATATAGCAAAATCAGGTGCAACTCTCAGCTTGGTTCCATTTTTGGTGTATAAAAATCGAAATGTTTTTAACAAACTCACAGTAAAAAAACGCAATCATTTGTCATATTTTGAGGTTAGTTTATTTCGAGGTAACTTGTGTTTTAACTGTACATTTGTTAGACCTTTAATTTTGGTGTTGGCGTTCGTAAATTTTAAACATTTATGATAATAGCTATTAATTTGAGTTGAATTGAATTGAATTGAATGTTGCGGGTGTTGCCAATTGGCGGATAAATACTTTGATTGAAAAGAAACCAAAAAAAATTGAAAGCTTGAATCGAAACGCTTTATATATATACACACACACATATGTATATGTATATGAATATATTTGATATATTTATATATATGTACTTTTAGTTTGTTTTTTACGTTGTGTTTTAAGAACAAAGAAACATCTTTCATTTCAAGCAAATTCCAATACGAATTGCAGTACATGACATTTTGTAATAATAATACTACACACTCTATATACTATCTGAAGTTGATATATATACATACATATATATGTTTTACACAATATTTTGATAATAATCCATTCTTTTCGTTTTGCGGCTTGGCACGTGTTTTTTCTGCAAATCTTGTGGCCACATTTTTTGGGCCCTCTGCCGCTGCCAAAAAAGAGAAGCACAAAACAAAAACAAGAAAAATTCAGAAATTTTCTCAACATTTTTCTTGCTGCTGCTGCTGCGTTCGATTTGAATTTGAATTTGAAATTTGAATTTCGTTTTGGCTTGTCTGTTGATGATGCCACCACACACACACACACAGAGACACATACACATAGTACACACACACACAGATACACACACACACAAACACACACACAACAAGTTCTTGCCACAATCTAAAGAATTTTTAGTAAAATATTTTCTAATGCATTTTATTACATTTGCTTTCTTGTCTCTTTGTCTCTCTTCCATTCGCTGGCTTTCTTTCTCTCTCTCACACACTCACTCTCTCGCACACACACGCGCGCCCTCTCTCTCTCTCTCTCTGTGTCCAAAATCAGGGCGAGTGTGTGGTGCTGCGCGATCGCAAGCTGAACATCGCGCCGGCCATCAAGAAGCAGGTGAGTCTTTAAGCTAGCAGCTATCATACAGTGGTGGCCAAAATAACAGTGCCAGGGCCAGACATTGGCTTTTATTATAATTGGGCTAGCAAAAGCTATATGTTTTAATAAATAATAATAGAGAAAATGTTGGTGAGGCAGGTGCACGACTGTCAGATACCCTATAAAAAAACAAGATCTCTAATATCAATTTTTATGGAGCATACTTTTCTAGCAAATCTTAAACATATAATATTGAATATGCATATCAATCCACATTCACTTTTGCTGAACTCAAGTAGCAATCTACATAGCCCTTTATTTCGGCCACCACTGTATGCATATATCCCCCAAAAATTTGCATAATAATTGAATTGAAATTCCATCCAGCCGAACCCGCTGCAGTCAATTGTGGCCACCAATGGAGCCGTTTACTATACCACCACGCCGCCGGCACCGATTAGCAATATACCCATGGATCAGTTTGCTGCTGCCGTCTATCCGCCAGGTGAGTGTCCAAAATCAAGTGCAATTTAGCTTTAGCATTGTGTGGCTTTTGTTGAATATTCCATGTACTTTGGTTGAAATATTTTCTTTGATTTTTTTTTGTTTTTTTTTTTCTGGTATTCCATTTTATACTCTTCTCTTCTCTACAACAACCAATCAACAACAACAACAACAACACACAACAACAATCTATGTAACGCTGGACAAATTAACCAAAACTAGTTACTGACTTTACAGCCGCTGGAGTGCCAGCCATCTACCCACCTTCAGCCATGCAATATCAGCCATTCTATCAGTACTACAGCGTGCCAATGGTAAGTAAATCAAAGCTCAAGATTCTACTAATTGGGGTGACTTTAGTAGTAGTAGCAGTTAATATATGATTTATTCCGGGTATGATTCATTAATTCATATGTATATTATACAGATGATAATTTAGAGTAACGGAAAAACTTATGATCTAGTCATCATCATCTATGCATTTACTTCATTTGCAAAAACTAATGTACATATATCCCTCTCTCTCTCTCTCTTCTTTACAGAATGTACCCACCATTTGGCCTCAGAATTATCAAGGTAAATATAATCATTCCCTCTCTCTATCTCAATCTATCTCTGGCTACCTAGCGTGCTTTCGTTTAGTCGCCTCTTTGTCTTCTATCTGACACACTATATCCTTCTCGCTCCCACCATAATCTGCTTGCTCTCTCATATATAACTATATATCTCGCATAAATATATATCTGTACATATGAATATATCGTATATTTGCTGTAGTTTTTTTTTTTTTTTGTAATACCACACAACACTCTCTCTCTCTTTCTCTTGGTATACGCTTTATTTTTGTTCTTTCTTTCTTTCTTGCTTTCGGTTCTTGCTGCACAACCACTCAACGAACGTTAAAAGGTTAAATCATACAACAACAACAAGAACAACTAGAACAACAACCAGAACAACAGCTAGAACAACTACAACAACAACAAATTTTCGTAATCGCTGCCTGAGCAACAACTACTACTACAACAACAACAACAAACAGCAACAGCAGATGCAACAACTACAGCTACAAGAACAACAACAACAACATCCACAGCAGCTACTCTCCCCAACCACCCCCACCGCAGCCGCACAAGAAAACAACAAAAATTAGTTTTAATTTTAATTGCTAAATTAATTTAGTTTATATAATTATAATTTAACACACACACACACACACATACGCTCTAGGCGTAAATTATTAGTTAAATGCCACGCCCACCCACAGCTGGTGCAAACAACAAAATATCTAGAAGAATTATTTTAAACGCCATTTTGTTTTTTTTTTGTTTTCATTTTGTTTTTTATTGCCTGTGCATATGCGTAGCTAAATAACTATTGTATACATGTAGTAGTGAGAGCGCACACACACATACACACACACGTACATACTCTCACAGCCTCTGTAGTTGTATTGTGTTTGGAATTGTATGCAAACAAACAAATGTTTCTTCGACTGTTTTCTTGTAGGCATTTATCCCTGTTAACTTTTGAGGATGCAGCCATAACTACAACAGCAACAACAACCAACTACAACAACAACAACAAATTACTGAAGCTACTTACTACAACAACAACAACAATAGCAACAACAACAAAGCATTAATAGAATTTATATAAGCTGCAACAGCTGCTTAAAAATAATATTAATCAATTTGTAGCGACATTTTCAATAGATACATAAATACAAATATATATGTATACCTACATATATATACGAATACATACGCATAGTTGGAAGTCACATACAACACACTCGCACACACACTCACACACACACACACTCTCTCAGTGCTTTAACATAAGCAGCTTATGTTTTCAGTTGTAGAAACAGGCAACAGAGGGCGCACGCAGTGGCTTGGCGTTTGAGCAGGACGGGAAGAGCGAGAAGCTTCGACTGTATTGCAGTCGGCAAACGTTTGTGCAATTAGCGGAGGTGGGAAAGAGATGACAGGACGGGGGGGTATGGTTAGTTTTTTGAGGGGAAATGCAAGGCTGCAGCTGGCAAATGAAAGACAGAAATGTACCGATGTAATAATTTTGATATATGTAGAAATATAATTTTTGGCTTATTTAGCAGAAATAATACACACACACGCACACACACATACACAGACATAGTGAGACTCACATCTAAAAGAGTAGCAAGTCAAGTCAGCTAGTATATTATTTATTTGAAGCAAGGCAATACATGTTAGAGTGAGACAGCGAATAGCAGTGGAGCGGCGAGCAGCAGCAGAAGCAGCAGCAGTAAAACGAAAGTTAAAGACATAAATTATGCATAAATATTAATTTATATAAAATACACACGCACACACAAACATACACACATACGTATATATATATGAACGCATAAATGTAACTGTTATATACAGAAAAAAAACTAAGCAAAAAGCAAAAAAAAAAAAAAAGAAACTGCCGCACAAAGCATGCGCGCAAGCTAACACACACACACGCATACACCCATACTAATATACATATATATCTATATATATGAAACATATACATACACATACAAAGCCTAAGTTAAAAGTATATTTGTAAGCCAAGCAAAAAGTACGGTAAACTGAACGAAATTGTAGTCTTAACGAAAGCTAAACACAAAACTGAAGTTAAAACGAATTAAAAATACTAAAAAAAAAAAGAAGGCAAGAAATACTAGGACTTAAGTAAATGAAAAATAAACCTATACAATAAAGATATTCAAAAAAGCTAAAAACAAAAAAGTATATACAAAATATACCATATACATATATACATACATACATATATATATAATGCCTAGTACATAGCGAGACTATTCAAAAAATAATAAAAAAAAAAATATATATATATATACATATAAAATAACTAAAGCAATACATAGACACTCAATAAGTGTGTGCTAATATACCATGCATAATAAATAAATAAGCAAAAAATACTGAAAAAATACCTATGCGTGAAAATGTGAGGGAAGAAGCTAACTCTCTCCCATCATTCGCCCTTGTTTATCATTTGTACGACGCGAAACACATTTTTTGTTACACGTAACTCTTATTGTTAAAACTTGGCCTAAAAACCTAAGTTTAAAAAAAAATACTTAAAGGCAAAAAGCAAAAGGCAAAGGCGGCGATCAAAAAAAGAATTCAACAATTGGTGCAAAATTAAGCTGAAAAAAATACCAGAAAATATTTCATTATCAAATTATTTGCCCACTTTACAAGTACTATATACATATATGTATATACATATATATATATTTTATATGTATCAAATTTAAAGATCAAACCAAATGGTTTCACAAAAATGACCTGCATATGCAAGCAGTTAGCCACGCCCCTTATAGTTTTTCCGTCGCCTACGCCGCTGCGCCTTACACTTCACTTGTTGACAAATTTGTAACGTTAAAAAAAGCTATTAAAAAAACTCAATTGTTGCATAGTTAATAAAAATTAAAACTTATTGACAAATTTTTTAAAATCGAATCGTAACAATAATTAGAAAAGAAAACAAAAGAAACACAAAAACATACGAAAATAAAAGCAATAATTGAATAATTGATATGCTCTAGTTGAAAACTACAACCACCAATATATAAGCCCCATACACACACACACACACACACATAAGGCATACATACTTAAGCCCAAGTCAAACGTTTCGTTTCTTTTAAGTTATGAAATTGAGGTACAGTCTACATGGCCTGCAAAATGCCTAATATAACATATACATACACACACATACACACACATACACACACACCCACACAGTAACTAATAAATCCAAGGCATAACTTAAGATATATACGTGATATTTTGAAAAAAAGAAAACAAACAAAAAAATTCATAAATAGATTGTTTAGGTTTAAAAAACAAAAAGAAGAAATATATATATATATACAATTATATATATTTGAACATTTTTGCTGACATACAAAACAAAAACAAAAAAAAAGTTTGTAACTCAATTTTTATTGTCTGACTCTCGCTCGATTGTGGGTTCGGAGATCGGAGAGGTTCTTAAGTTTTCGAAGAGCAGTAAAGCAGATTGTGTCCCATCGTAAAAAAAGAAAAAAACAAAAAGAAAAAATTATTAAGTTTATACATGCATATATATATATGTGAATATTTATAACGTACATACAAAGCATATTAAATATACATATACATATATATATATATGTATATATATGTACCATAAAAGAAAAGTAAAAAAAAAAAAGAAATTAGTCAAAACTAAAAAAAGTATATATATATATATATCATAGCAAAAGGCATAAACTGTACAATTAAGTAAAAACAAGAAAAATATGAAAACAAATATTATATATACATATATTTTAAAGCAAAAATCAACTGATTAAAGTGCGGCTCAAGTTAGGAGCAACGTTTTTTTAGTATCGTAAGTAACAACCTACCTAAATAAAAGTACAGCAATTAAATGGAAAAACTGTAATAATTATATATAAATATATATATATATGATCATCACAATTATTTAACATGTATAAGACAAACACACACAGAAACACAGCAAATAAAGCTAAAAAGAGAACTAAGATTGCTCTAATCGGCAGTGCCCGACTAGCAGATACCCTGACATTGTGGAAATGCCTTCAGGTTAAATAATAATCGAAATAATAATTATTATACCATATAGACGAAAATATCCTTTGCAAGGGATCTTCCATAATATGTTCAGGGTATCGTACGTAAAAAGGCAAAATGAAAACAATAAAGCAACAGCTACTTAAATAATTTTAGCAAAAAACAAAAAAAAAAAGATGCATAAAAAACACTAGAACAAATTCTTTTTATTTATTTATTATTTAGTTATTTTCCAATTGCTTTTTAGTTGCAAAATTTGATCGTTTTTTGCTATTTTGCGTTTGCCCGCATCAATCTGATTCATTTCCGATTCCAAAGAACCATTTTAATTTTCCGTTAGAAACTCAGCCACCGATGCCGCATCATGCGCCGCCACACGGAGCTTGGGAGTTTGACGATGGCACCAACAACAACAACCGCAACAACAGCAAAAACAACATCTCTGTGACGAATTGGCGCATGTCCATGTAGTCGAACTCGATGCGTGTCTCCCTTCTAGTCTAACCAATGCAAATCAATACACACAGCCATACAGAACACGGCACACAGACACAGCAGCAGCAGAAGCAGCACCAGCAGCGCTGCAACTGGAGAAATGAAGAAGACAAATGGAAGAAACAATGTGCAAATGCCATGTGCTATAACCGAACGCGAAGACTGAAGCAAAAGCAAATGCGAAAGTAAACACGAAAGTGAAGGCACACACGCTGTAGTTGAGAAGTAGCTGTAAAAGATCAAGTCAAGAGAAGAACACCAGCGCGCATGCGAGCAAGCGAGATGCATGCTGTGCTACGGCTGGGCAAGCTAAGAATGTGTGTATCAAACGAAGATGAGAGGAACAGCAACAACTACAGCAGCATTTCGGCAGCAATAACCAATAAGAAAAGAGAATCATTTATGCAGCATTGATGGTGCTCACTCTCTCTCACAGACACAGCACGACACAGCTTATCTACACAGTTGCAAATTAGTTTCATAATTTTTTCGTTTATTTTGTTTCCCAGTTCAAATTGTTTCATTGTTTCCCTGTATTTTCGTTACTATTGTTCTGTTCATTTCGTTGCCAATCCAGTGTTTCAGATGGGCTGCAGATACTTTGCAAGAGCAACATCTAATGACAACAAGAACAACCAGAGACTAACGTCACTCGTTGAGTTGAGCACTAGGACCATTAGGACCCTTAATAGGTAGAGTAGCAACATGTCGCTACTTCGTTTCCCGCATTGTCGCATAGAGAGAGCGAGAATAGGAAATGCTAAGCATCAGTTAAGTCGACAGGCAGGAGAATAGGGAAATAACGAGAGACAAGAGAGACGAAAGCATATCCAAACTTCTTCAGGAATTTTTCAAGAAAACACGATTTGCACGCTGCATATATATAAATCTATATATATGTACCACAAGAAGACACCCCGCTAAAAAAAAAAAAGCAATAATCCATAACCTCGACTCTCCTCTCAGGTCTTGCTAAATAACATATGTGCTCCTTCTTTTTGCTTCAACTGTAGCCCAAACCCAATCGAATAGAATCTATATCGACATAGTTCGTGTATAGAATCAGAGAGAAGTATAAATATCGAATCTAATTGGTTTCGGGTTCAATAATTTGGCGTTCCGATTTCGTAGTTCTTCTATAAATAATCAAAGATTCTAAATGAAAGTCTATAACATTCATTGCCTTTTACAAATTTGGCCACCACTCAAGCAATTTGCAAAATTTTCTACGTTTCTTCTACATGTATTTCACTCTGTCTATAATATTGACTAGACTATTTTTATCATTCCAATTGTTTTGGCTTAGATTATGTACTAAATTCGTTGCCATTTCCGTGTATATATATATTGTATAGAAGTTTTTTCTAAATTTTGAAAGTTAACCCACAATTAACAATTGTCAAAACAAATAAATAAGAGCCCGAAACAAATTTCAAATCTTTCTTTGTTTTATTCTCTTTTAATTTACATTTTATATACCATATGATTTTTACACACACATGAACAACATGGCGTATACGCATTTCATAGCAAGTAAATTTTTTCGTAGCATACTTTCGGGTTGAAGCGATATGAAATTCTACAAACGTAAAGGCAAGCAAAAACATAAATACGTGCAACGAATCTTTTTCGATGTTTGATTTGAGAGTGGGCAAAATTATATGGATTCGAATGAATCATATACGAATAGTTGAATTATATAAACGGTTGTGTCAAATTAGCTCTAAAATATGATTAAACTTCGGGCTGCCGAAGCTTGAATACCCTGGAAGAGATCCATGTTATAGGTAAATTAGTTACAATACTATTTAGATAGTTTATAAAGCTATATATATACTGATTCGCTGTAAGGGCAGTTGAATTGATAGCTGAGAGATTATAAAATAATGAAGATATATGAAAATCTATAGAGCCTTGACCTGAGCTGACATTGAAATATTTTAGTGCACAATATATTAGATGACTCTATGGTAACTATCAGCTAGATCAGGATGATACAAAGCTGAGGTCATATAGAAAGTTCATACAGATAAAATATGCCAGTCATGCGATACCACCTTTCAGCTAAGATCGCTTACAACACAGATATATAACTGCTGATGTGTATGATATTAATATATGTGGCTGCTATATTTATCAACTGATCCTAAGCCAATTTTCAGCTAAAAAACATCAGCCAGAGCTGAGTTCAAATAGTACATATATAATAATCTCTCCCTAACAACTTGTATAAGTTATCATATCAATTTCTAGACACACTCTCTTCAAGGGTATATCAATGCAGTCGGACGCCTTTAGCATATATACATATACATATATTTATATATGAAAATCAGCCTCTATATAATCTAAATGTAGTTCAATTAAATTTGATTTGCCTCTAAACACTTTTGTCTCTAGTAAAACTCTTCCCGTGCAGCCTACGGGCCAACAAATAAATACAGATATCTCTAAAACTAAATAAGTACTTGAAATACACACACATATATTTAGATAAAATATATAAATATATATATATATATATATATATATATAAATATATATGAATGTACAAGAACAATATCTCGATGGCGTCTAAACAACAAATATTTGTATTAAAAGTAATTCGAAAAATCGTTTTTTGACATAACAAAATGCATTTTTAAAGAAAAACATCTACGTGTGAATTGAATATAAACCTTATATGTATGTGTATATACATTTTATAAAATATATATGTATGAATATATATATATATACATATATGTATATGTATATGCATGTATATGTTGAGAAGCGGCATTTTTTTATACGATCGCAAACCTGTGGCTAGCTTAAAGAAACCCCTGAATAGACTCGCCCCATTGCTTTGCCTATGCCTATGTGTGTGCGTGCGTGCGTGTGTGTGTGCATTAAAATGTTTTTGAAGTAAAATTTAATTTACACAAGACTGACGCTAAAAAAAAAATAAAATTTAACTAAAAAACCAAAACGAAATTTAAATAAAAAAACAAACAACCAAAAAAGGTGTTTTACGAATTTTCCCCAAACGCCGCACGCACACAGGCAAACTACACACCGCTGGGCAGCTGAATAGGTGCGGTTGGGTTTCTGGTACGAGAATTGAGTAAATCTTCATTTAACAATTCAGTTTTTTGTGCGCGTTTTATATATGATTATATATACATATATATAGATATATATATAAATATATATTATATTTGTAATTAATAAACGGAAAACCTGATATATATATGCATATATGTATATATATATATATATATATATATATATATATATATATATATATATATATATAATTATATTATATATTTATATTTACAAGAAAAATATACAGTGTTATTTTTATGATATTGTACTTATTAGTCAAACAGCAAATAAAAAAATATATATATATTAAAAAAAAAGAAATTATAAATAAAAAAACTGGGCAGCATAAAAATAGAAAAAAAAATATCGAATATAATAAATAATAATTTATAGAGCAATATTATATGGTAGTAAAAAAAACACGCATACACAGAGGAAAATGTGATTAAATTACACTCACACACACACACACATACCCAGGCACACACACACAAAATTGAGGTTAGGGCAAAGCAGCGATTCTATAGAGTCTGACGTAGCTTTCCCCACGAAAAATTACAATAAACGTGCAACGAACTCTACAAGAAATAGTTTTGAGTATAGATCAAAGAGTAGTTAAAAAAGAATTAAATAAATAAACCACACACAGGTGCATTACGTAAGCGTTAGAAAGAGATAGCAATTGCTTCGATATTCGCATTAAATGTTTAGTTTTTAGTTGAAATATTACGGCAGCAGAGGATCCAGTTTTTGTAAAACTGAAACATATAACAGCAGAGAGAGAGAGAGAGAGAGATGGAGCGAGAGGGAGCTAGAGAATCAGCTAGGGGAATGGGAGGTAGTGAGATATAGAGGACTTATCTGAGAGGACAATAGCGAAATGAGGTAAGAGATTAGACAAGATATTCGTCTTATAATAGAGACAAGTCCTTCAGACAGATAAATGATCAAATATACGATTGCACCCATGCGATTCGAAGCCTTTAAGCTTTTCAATAAGGAAAAATATAGGTAAAAAAGAGACAAGTTGTCTTACAAACATTTGAAAGATCACAGAGAGTGGGAAGAGAAAGCAATAGATGGAGAAAGAAAGAGGCTCTATTTAAATAAACCCCAAACTATTCATCTTTTTTGGATCATTATTGTCAGCAAAACGAATTTTCTGAGAGTTTGCTTCTTATATACACATACATACAAATGCATACATACCATATGTACATATATATATACATATATATACCAAAGAATTTCGAGAATATCGTAGCAATGTTTTGAGTCAACACAGAAACAACAACTACAACAAACATATATTATATGGCAAATGGTGAAAAACAACTGGAAAATATGAGTGTTGTATAAGTATATATATATATATATACATATATATGTATATATATAAATTGTAGCTAAAATGGTTTCAAGTAAACAAAAAAAATTGTTGAGTATTTTTAGTCGAATATACAAAAATAAAAAAAGAAAGAAAATCAAAGAATTTATTGTATTTAACCTACAAATGATATTTTTCTAATTTCTAATAAATCAAAATTTAATTTTCGAACTTCACAAGCAATTCAGCTAATTAGTTTTTGCCTTCTGCTGACAAATAAAATAAAAAAATATATATATATTTAATGGATTAATTTATTCGAAACAAAATTTATTATTAACATTTTGCTTACTGCTGACAAGTTAAAGAAATATTAGGTTTAAATAAAATTAAAAGTGAAGACTTGATTATTATTGAGTTACTATTTAAAGATTATTGGGATTTATCCTTCTGCTGACGAATTAATAAATTACAAATTAATTTGATAAATCAAAATATTATTTTCTCAACTATCAAAGCGAATATTTTTGTTATAAAATTCAAACAAATGCTGAAGCAAATTTGCGTAATGAAAACAATATTAAACAAGATTAGATAATTAGCGGAAGACACACACACACACATCCACACCGACACACATATGCCCAGTTAGAACTATGGAAAAAATAATATCAAAGATTAGCAAAAACAAAACTTCTAGACAAATTCTAACTTTTAGCTACAAACACAGTAAAAAAAAAAAAAAAAAAAAAAAATTAAGAAAAAAAAAATATTGAAATGTATCCAAATTCTTCCGTATGACAAAAACAAGCTCTAGCTAAAAATTTACCACACGAGTCTATATATACAAGAGATACAACTACAAACTACATAATATATATATATACATACATATATGTATATAAATACATCCAATACGTAATACATATGAGAAATACAAGAAACCCAAGACACACTTACAAAATACAATAACAAAAGAAAACACAGATCAAGATTCGGGTTTTAACAAACTGAATATATCTGGATATATATATGGATATACATAAATATATATACATATATATCCAACCAACTGGCATAGAATGGAATTGGTTTAGCTTGCATTGGGGGTACGATGAAAGCAGTTTATGGAGAGGCATATAGATCGAGATCTACTCTGTTCTATGCTAGCTTCAAGTACAGCTGTCTAAAAGAATATACAAAATATTTAAAATAAATATTCATAATAATAATTATGATAAACGAAGTATTACAATTTGGAGCTGCAATATTTTTTAATCAAAAAAAAAAAAAAAAAAAGCAAAAAGAAATATTAAAGATAATAATTAATATATATTTTTCTCTTTTGAGATAAACGATAAAACTGTTTTCAATGTGTGAATTGAGTTAGGTAAATAATAACAATTAATAAAAATATTAAAAAATAAAATTAAAAACATATTCCAAGCATCAGAAACCAAAGAAAAAAAAAATAAAAACAAACACTTTTTCGTGGGTTTTAATGTGTACAACTACAAAAACTTCCGTGTGCAAAAAAATAAATATAAAACCAATATACGCCATATTCACTTTGTGAGCGGGTATTTAAGCAACTACACTACACAACACAACAAAAAAAAATATAAAAAATAAATGAATAAAAATCAGCCCAACTGAAATTGTCGAAGAAATCTATATGAATATATATTTAGATAACTATTATATATGTACATATATATAAATATGTATACATGTGTGCAAATTATTCAAAAATCCAAAAAAAAAAATCTATATATATAGAAAAATTACAGAGTAAAAGAAATATAAAAGAAAAGTGGATACGTAGTACAATGTCAAGCGAAATATGAAGTATAAAGCAAATGCATATTAAAAAAAATAAATAAAAACAAAAAAAATGAAGAAGGAGGTGGAGAAGAAGAAGCAGTGCAAATGCAGAGATTAGGCTCTGGCAAGGCATGAAGAAAATAATTATTTATAAAGGCTGTAATTTTAAGTAAACAATTAAATTAAAAAAATACTTCAAACGAAGCAGAAGAAGAAAAGCAAAAACAAAAACAAGAAAAGAAAAAAAAACATTTCACCCACGACAAAAGCGAAAGAAGGAGAGACAGAATTATATTAACTAAATGCTAAATATACTATACAAATTAAGTACGATCGATATCTAAAACGAAATTATAAAACTTAATATGAAATAAACACAAAAATAAAAACAAAACAAAATATATATACAGAAAATACAAAATACAAACATATATATACATATATATATGTATGTATGTATATATATATATATATATGTATGTATATATATATATATATATATATACATATATACACGTATACATACGACATCACACACATAAATAAATGAGAACTCAATGTATGTAATAAATATAAAAACTAAATAAAAATACATAAATTAAAGAGAAGATGGAGAATGTGTTTTGAGACTATATGGGAAAGCTCTGAAAAGTGTGTGAGTGCTTCATATTAAATCACTTTTAATTTTATATTAGCTCACGCGTCTAATAAAGAAATCAAATTAAATATTTATATAGACTCGGTATTGATTTTGTGAACTTGAAATTCGGAGATAATGTACTTGCCCCGTACTTACGCCTATGCTCGGCTCTTTATACTCTTATAAAGCTGAGTAGATAGAGTTCAATAAGATTAGATAGAGTTTAATATCAGATACTTCAAGTCAGCAGATAACACATATATTCCATATATAGAATATAGACTACATAGAGTACTACCGTACATTCAGTAATATCTGGTCAAAGCTGAATAGCACTCACCTCAATCTTCAATGAAAGCTCCATATAAATAGGCAATTCCTCGGTTCTCTAAGAAAAAAGTACAGTTGTGCTCACGCTATCTAACTGTGTCAGAGGCGTTGACACAGCTCCTCCAATCATGCCACACACTCGACATGCTTTGAACCCATGCTCAAAGCGTCGCATCGATGACGCATATAAGCAATCCTATCAGCAGTTCTCAAATAACGTAAGCGAATGACTATTTAGTTTGTTTTTTTTTTCAGCTTAATTCTAAGTTTATTTCATATTTGTGTTCTTGCTTGTTTTCCTCTTTTTTTCGCTCAATAAATATACCTTAATCGAAATATATGTATATACAATGTAGGAACTATATAAGTTTTGTTCGTGGCGGGCTTTGCTACTCCTTGTTGATGAAGCTGCGATTGTATCGCTGCATTCGCACGCTTTGCGGCGCCTTGGAGCTGCGATCGAACTCGCACGTCTTCTTCGTCTTCAGCATGCGGGAATCGGGTCCGGAGGAGGTGCGCCAGTAGACCGTCTGCACGGCATGCCGTCCGGCAATGTAACGCGACGTAGCGCCGACCAAGTAATTCACTTTATTTGCAGCTGACATTTTTGGTATTTATGTGTTGGTATATGTATATGTAGTTCCTTTTTCGTATATATTTGGTATTTCTCGTTGAGATCGCTCCACTGGCGAAACGTTTCTGTTTAGCTGTGTAGCAACCGCCGCTGCTTTTATAGCTCGACGGCTTATCAACATTTTTTTGTTGGCATTTGTGTTTTGTGTTTTGTCTAGTTCGCGCTTATCGCTTATCGCTTTCATTTACATTCGTTTATTGTGTTTTCCTTTTCTTTGAAGTTGGCTTTATTAATTGATTAGTTTATGATGCGTACGAATAATCGGCCGCTGCAACTGCGACACAGTTTTATTTACATTCAGCTCAGCTCAATGCACAGGTGACCGAGGGGCGCTGGCTCACTTACTTCCATGTGCGCAGCTCAAAGTGCAAAGTCGTCATCGACTAAGTACTATATATATATATATTATAAGTAGATCGGTGCTAGAACTGACGCAAAGCTCGCATAATTGACATAATTAACGCCAAGCGACAATTCACGCGATTGCCAAAGGCTGACTCGAAGATCCCGGAGATGTGAATGACATGTGAATTCTCGAGAGCTGATGCAGCTCGTCTATCGATGATCGTCTAAGCATTTAGCTGCTCTATATGAAATGCATTGCCAGATATTCATCTATCCTTGGCACATATGCCAACGATTGCATTCACACTCTATCGATTCTATATAACGGTCTAAGGCTAAGTGAACTGTTAAGCTACTGATCAATCAATACCAAGAGCTTTGCGTATTTAAATACTTATCTCTGACCCAAACATTATATTAGCTTCTTTCCTATCCCGATAGACCTACTCAAGATCTATAATAATTGATCAACATGTAACTTAGAATAGAGTTGATATATACATATATGGCAGGTGTCACCAGATGTCAATCAGATTTTCAATTAAATCCAGAGATCTACACTTTAAGTATAGTAGTCTATTGAATAATAGTTAAGTTCAGCTGCAGGTTCAGCTGGCTATCAACGGATACGCCTACGTTTTAGATTTTAATCAGAGGATTATTTCGACCTAATTTCTGATTACTTGAACATGCCAACTGATCGTGAGTTCGATCTACATTCTGACGTGTCAATTAAAAAAAAAAAAAAATCCGAAGCTGATCTGTCAGATGTCTATATGAAGTACATATTAAATAATATGCATACTTGATCTATGTAATAATAATCTAATGGCAGTTCAGTGAACACCTTCATAGCCCATCAAGTCTTGTCTCACTGTCTATTTAGCAAGGCCCTCAGTTATGGTCTACTATGGTCTACTTATACTACTTAAACAGTCAAGTACCCTTATTGTCTTTTTCCTTATTCAGATATCTACAACTCCTAAACTATTTAATCAAGAACTTTGTCTACATGTTGTTTACCTGAGATCTTTATCTATAAATTTTTTATTTAACTATCCGTATCAGACGATCTTTCTCTAAGTGCCGTTATCTGAGTACCTTTGGCCACAGAGCTTTGTCTTAAGTACTTTGTCCTAGGTTCAAGCTACATGTGCTAAGATATTTTTCCCAGCTGCTTCTTGACCTCTCCTACAAGATCAATTTACAACTGAAGTTCCTAACTCTACACAGTGTAGATCTAAACCAAATGGGCCTTTAAGAATTTGGCTTTCAAGAGAACTTCAACTATTCTATAAACAACTGAGAAATTATAGGAAAGTTTTTGTCCACTAAGCAAAGCCGCTTGCAGATATTCCATTTCATTCCCGCCTTCCTTCATAGCCCCTTCGATTTTGAACAGCTGTTCAGAGCGTGTTCAGGCCTTAGGTATATCTATGTTGACATCATGTATAATTATTGTTCATGAGCCGTCTACGTGTGACGTTGCCTTTGTTTTTGTTTGTTTACCTTATCAATGCAGTCAGAGCGTCGCGGGCTCAAGTGAGCTGCTTAGTCAATTTGTAAAAAAAAAATAAAAAAAAAATGCAATCATAAAAAACTAGAAAGAGCGTGTGCTTAATGCCAACAATAATAATAATAATAATGAATTAAATAATAAATAGTGAACAACAATAATAATGGGCAAGCATTCGAAGTTCAAGGGTGGCATCCCATTGAGCGCAGGGGGTTCGCATTCGATTCGTAGTAGTCGGCCCTCTGGGCCGATAAGAGTCGACACGTTGTCTCCTGGTGCTGCAAGGGCCTATCAATTCAAGAAAAACTTTCCACATGGAAGGTAGCCGCTTGTTTACGAATCTTTGGCCGAAAATGAACCTGCCAATAATCGAGCGATAAGTGATAAGCGAATCGGAACAGTCCCCAAAAAAGCGAAAGAAAGAAAATAATATTATAAATAGAAAGCTAACGAAAACAAGTATAAAACTCGCCAGACTATAGCCTTTAAACGCGTGTGCTTAACGATAAGATATTGTTTATATACATATATATATATATATATACGTATAAATATATATGTATGTATCATATACCTCTAAGCCGAAAATTGTTTCCATCTCTGATTAGATTTCACGGCGAAAGCTTGTTACTAGGGCATGGTTTTTGGTTATTTTGATAAGTTTAATCTTGAAAACCAGTAAAAACCAATACATATCTTCAAGATCTAAACAATATGCTAGACGTTGCCAATGCCAGACGACGTGATACTCTGTACTCTTAGTTAGCCTACCTTATTTTCTTTCTTTAGGCATTATGGAAATCAGCTAGATATAATAGCATAAACTCTTAAGAGATTTATGTCTACTTAAGATCCAGCAAAAAGTGTAGACACTAGTGAAACAAACACAATAAGAGAGAAAGAAAAAATATAATATAAAATTTATAATATATAATGAACCAAAAACAGCAAAAAATTGAAGAGAAATTAATGGTTTATTTTTTTATTATATAAAATACATAAATATATATATATATATAGATATACTTTTTGTTATATGGTAAATGTTTGAGACTACCCTCGTATATGCTCAACTTTTCAGACTACCCCCGTAAACATACTTGACTGCTCCAACTTATCAGCTAAGCGACGCAGCTAAAGCGGACATATGCGACTTACAGATGCACTATCTCACAGTGAATTCCTATCTATAAAGCGGGAACAGTTGCTTTTATTAAAACTTTCGTTGCCTACTTTGCGGCCGTGGCGTGGGAATCAAAAGTTAGAAGAAAACAATGTTTGTAACGATTTGATAATTGAATTAAAAGCACATTTAACGCCCACACACAGTTAGACGTCGCGACGTTCAGAGAGCAGAGCAGAGCAGACAAGGGCAGAGGGTAGGCCAAGCGGTTAGTTAGCTAACTAATTGAGTTTAATTGGAACAAGACAAGAGCAATTAAGGCATCGAAACTAGAGAGAATTGGTTAATCGAGCTGTGACTGTATTCCATGTGGCTTAAGTAAGTCGATTAGGCATAAATTAACATAGAGTATGGCTGGAATGCGGTTCCTGTGCACCAGACGATCCCACTCAATGGCAACGCCCCCTGCCGGCCAACAGCGGCAACAGCAGCAGCAGCAACAGCGCCGGCAGACCAACGATCAGGCGAGCCGAGCCACTGCAGACCTTGCGAATGGTCTCCGTGTTGAGGCCACGGCGAGAGAGCATGTTGTGGACGCTGCGCAGCTCCTAGAGAGAGAAAGGCAAATAGCAAGAGATAGAGACAGAGCGAAGGGAAGAGAGAGAGAGCAATATAGATGTAAGTTATGGCTAGGAGTAAGAACTGTAAAATACTCTATTCATAGAGACAAAGCTGTTTCCATTAATATATAAAGTATAGACCAAACTTAACTCCATCTCCAGAGCATCCATGTCTAAAGACTAGGACTCACCTCATTGCTGAGACCCAAACGGTTGCGTGTGAGCACCACGGTGTATATGGAGCTCTTAACGTCGTTGCCGCAGAAGGTCAACACCAGGTGGTCGTTGACCGCCTTGCCCACCTGCACTGTGCCTGTGAACTGGGTGTACGAGTTCAGTGTGGCCAGACTGCCGCGCTGATCGCCAATATTCGACCAGACATTCGGCGCATTTGCCGTGTAGTTGAATGTGTACTCCAGATTGTTGTCTCGCTCGCTCCACACGAGACGCAGATACCTCATGTTCTGCTGCTGCGCCCGACGGTTATATTCGTTGTCGTGCTCCTGATATGTGGGCGTGCTAGTCAGGGTGCGATAGTTGTTCTGCATTTGTTGTCGATTGTTGTAGTAGCCAGTGTAGCCATAATTGTTGTTATTGTAGCTGGCTTGCACCTGTAGGAAAGGGTAAATAAATATGCGAACTGTAAACAAAATATTCGAACTCACTTGATCAGTAACATCGGTCAGATGGATGATGACGCATGAATCATACTCGTACACGCCTGGAAAATCTTGACTGTGCATTATGATTTCGCTGCCGTACCAAAGGCCCATTATCTGCAATGGAATTGTAAATATGGTATATGTTTTTTTCGATTCATTTGCAACTCTTTCATATTGGCTGTTGACATTTTAATTTGTGTGTGTCAACAAATTTTACAATAATTTAATTTTAATCAATAAACTATGTCACACATGCATACACACACACACACACACATGTATGTATGTATATATCCATGTAAATACATATGCGAGTCTTGTCAATTAGCAGCCCGCATGCGGACAGTGGGACAGTGGGATTGGAACAGTGGCAACGAAACGCTGACTAAGCGAGTCACCCACTGCCTGACAGACAAACCGTCTGGACAGCACTCAGCAAACAAAGTTGACTTATGCCCTACATAGTCAAAAGGGTTAATTAGCACAAATCAGCCCTAATTGGATTACCAAAACAACGAAAAGAGTTCGAACGAGTTATTCAATACAATTTGTTATTTTGAATCAACATCAAGTCAATAATTATGAAAGAAGTTCAAGAAATTATAATCTAATTAGATTCATTATGACATTTTTCTGATGTCTTTTATATAGTTGAGCAAATATTATGCTATAATATATACCTTAATAATTTCATTATTTTATATAAAATAAATATCAGATAGCATATACTTAATTCAAATAAATACTAACTTATTTTACTTATATATACTATTATTTAATTATCTACAGATTAACGATTTGCATATTCAAGTTCAGTTTGTTCATTTCCAGCCCTGAACTGAACCAGCGCCCATTTTGCAGAATCTTGAATTTCACTCTCTCTCTCCTGCTCTAATCCCGCTCACCTGCTGCAGATCCACTGAGCTTTGTGGCTTAACGTTAACGCAACGCACGGCTGCATTGATGCGTTCTGTGCTTGTGCTGCCATCCAATGATCCGTAAACATAGTGATCCAAATTATTGGCAACGCTGTGCGACCAGCAAATGCCAAATATCACACACAATGCAAAAGATTTCAATAACATTGCACTGTATGTTTGCGTGTGTGTGATAAGCGTAAGACTGAGCCGCGAAAGGAGAGAAAGAACAAACGACGACTGCGCTTTATGAAATGCCACTCACAACTGCCAGTAAATCGCCGTTAGCGAAGAGAGGCTGCCTGGAATGTCGTCCATTCCAAACAGAAGAGAGCGAGAGTCTGAGCGCGAGGCGAGTGATGAGAGTTGGCGGGGCAGGAGTGTGAGTGAAATGCACATATTAGAGCAATTGCACTCTTTCGTTCAGTACGCTGCGTAGCTCGCGTTGATCATTAGTTAATTAAGTTAATTGTCGAGCTTTTAATGCGCATCACTCGCACCCGCACAATGCGAACGAGCCAAGCCCCTGGAACCCCTTTTGTCAACGACAGCTTTTGACAATTGAGAGTACGTTTATATGTGTTCGTGTGAGAGTGTGTGTGATCGTTCAATTGGCTGAGCCACAAAACCGAGTGAATATATAGAAAGAGACAGAGAGAGAGCAGCTTAAGGCTGGCAATGAATGTAAAGCGTAGATTGGAAGGGAGCTGTAAAGCGTGTGGAATGAGTCGACATGTGAATTAAATTTGCTGAGCATCTTTATTATTGTTATTATCGTGTTGTTGTGCGTTTTATTAGCATTGATTATGTGTGCTTAGCCTACGTGCGTGCCCTTGTCGACCCCTTTACAAGACAATTTCCATTGCCTATTTTAAGGTGTTGCCATAAAAATAATTAGCTTTATTTTAGAAAGTTTAGTCCGGGGCTACTTCAAGCGCCGCAAGCTTTGGTTGATCTTCTCGTAGATCCAGTCCACATAGTGACAGACGCGCACATAGACACCGGGACGATTCTGATAGCCGCAGTGCTGACCCCAAGATATGATGCCATACAGTGTTTCGCCATCTAGAAAGAAAATTGGATTACTAACGAACTACACTGATCTCAACTCACTATGGATTTACCCTCATCAGAGCAGACAAGTGGACCGCCAGAGTCACCCTCGCAGGCGTCGACACTTGCGTCCATGGAGCCGGCGCAGAACATGCCTAAATAGATTAAAATGTCGGTTATCAACAAGTCATTCATTCCATCATTCGCTCAGTCACTCCATCACTTACCCTCCGTCATAGCATCGCCATAGACATTCATTTGCTTGCACGTCGTATCCGGCAAAATGGGCAACTGCGCAGCTCTCAGTTCTTGAGAAGGAGCTGCAAGATAACAGGATCGATTAATACCCTAACGAAGGGGGAAAGAGATAGAGCGAGCTACTCACTGGACACGCCCGATTTAATGGAGCCCCAGCCAGAGATGGTGCAGGTGCGATTCTCGAGCAAAGGAGCACCACGCTCTGGCAGGCAAATGGGCTGCACGTAATCGTTGAATTTCAATGGTGTCTTGAGTACCACCAGAGCAATGTCGTTGTTCATGTGGGTGGGCTGGCGGAACTGTTCGTGTGTATACCAGGTCTCTATGAACGAGTCCACCTCCGAGTGTTCCGCTATGTTAGCGTAGTGATCGCCCACGCGCACAAAGTACGCGCCCTTCGGATGTCCGTAGACGCAATGGGCGGCTGTTAGCAAATGCCTCTTGGAGATGACCACGGCACCACACCAGTGGCTGGAGATGCCGCCACGCCCACGTGTCCTTATCGTCGCCTGCCACGGATGACGGCCGCGACGTGCCACATTGCCCTGGACCACACGCTGCTCGGGATGCAGGAACTCATCGAACAGATCGTCCTTGAAGATGCCGCAACGTCTTGGTGTGCGCAGCGCCTTGCTCGATCTCTCCCAGAGCCCGATATCCGATAGGCTAATGTTGCTAGCCGAACCGGCGGACTTATCCTTACTTAATGCTTGCAGACGAAGGCGTTGACGTGCCTGTCTCGGCGGCGGGCCCGCAGTGCAGCGCAGACTCACATCCTCCGTATGATTGCAATGGTGTTCGCCCCAGTTCCAGTGGCGGCACAGGTCGATGCTCGTCTCGTTGCCCAGGCACATCACTTGATCGAGCCAGATGGGTCCGCTGCCTGGGCCGAATATGTTCTTCTCGATTTTCTAGGAGAGGGAGAGAGAGAGAGAGAGAGAGAGAGAGAGAGAGAGAGAGAGAGAGAGAGAGAGAGCGGTCAGGTATGGAGTTAATGTAACTCTAGTGGGGTTGCCTTCCACTTACTGCTTCTCCATAGTAGCCCAGGCTATTGCAAGCCACCTGCGCTGCCCGCACATTGAAATCATCATCGCAAACGCTGCCCCAGACGCCGTGGTACTTTACCTCCAAGCGACCTTCAAGCGAGCTGCGCCCACCCTCCAAACGGTACTCAATGGGTGCCTGTAAAGAGCCAATGAATTATACCAAAACTATCAGTCTCAGATGAGCTCTATTTACCTTACAAACAGCATCACTCTCATCCGACTTGTCCGCACAGTCGACCGTATTGTCGCAGACAAAGGCAGGGGGTATGCACTCCTTGGAGGCCTCGCAGAGCCACGAATTATTGGGACACTTTAGCACGGGCACTTTACAGACCACGCCCGCCACCTCGTCAACGGCACAGTTGTGCACGCCCCAGCCCATAAAATCGCAATCCTTCAACTTCGTCTCATTGCCCCGACACTCGAGCTTATCCATCACATAGTTGAAGTTGCGCTCGGTGGGCTCGTAATATGAATTGCCACGCACCTCCGAAGCGCCCATCTTGTAGCCCAACTCACGGCAAACGACATCCGCATCGGGTAGACCAAATTTATCATCGCAAACGTAGCCCCATTGACCATTTACTGTAATAAAAACCTGATTGAATACCTGACATGGCTTTGGCATAATTCAAATGGTGCCATACTTGGCTAGGGCTATGGACAAATTTGGGATCAACCTTGTGGTGGAATACTTGGCTTATTTAAAATTATTCACAAATTCCTTGTGATTAAATACTTTGCTTGCTGTAAGGATATCCCTTGTGGTTGGATTCTTTGCTACATTTATACAATTGAATTGCGGTTTAATACTTGGCTAGATTTAATATCCCTTGTGGTTTCATTCTTGGCTAAATTTTGAGAGAAATCTTTTGCGATTGAATATTTAAATACATTAGAAAATACCCTATGGTTGAATATTTAGATGTGGGGAATTGTTTCTCAGCTATTTTTCAGTCCTACTCACCTTTGACTTCAATGCGTCCCATATGTGGACTTTCACCACCTGTCAATCGCACCTGGTACCCTAGATGCTCGCACTGGCTCTCATCCCTTCGATTGCCACAGTTATTGACTCCGTCGCAGACCTCTGATTGTTTTACACACTTGCCCCCACCGCAGTGAAACTCGCAGGGTTCGTCAGAAAATCCGGTACGCAAGTTAATTTCAGATGTTGTGGTGGCTTCTGCATTTGGATTAGGCAGAAAGTCCCCTACTTCAAACTCCGTGTTAGGGTCGGACTCAAACTTTGTTTTGGTCGTAGACTTATGCTCCTCGTTGATGGGATTGAAAGGATTGGGTAAATTGGGATGTCTGGCATGGTAGGAGGGGCTGTGCTGGTGGGGATGAGGACCGTGATGGTGGTGGTGTGGGTGGTGGTGATGGTGTTGCGGTTTCTCGAAAGGATCTGGCATATTTGGATGGCGCCTATGGAATTCACGACTATGCCAATTGTTCGTATTTGATTGAGGATTTGGATTCAGATTTGCATTTGTACTGCTGTCGTTGATGTCCACTCGTCGCGTGCCACGTTGAAAGTCAGTGGTGTCGTAGCGGGATGCGTAAGTAGTGGGATTTATGGTCTGTTCAGTGCGCGCCGTTTCACCAGCATCTGGAACAACAGAGGGATCGTCAGAGTCAATGTCCAGGCTCGCCTGCTCGCCAGCCACAATCATTTCAACGTCATCGTCGGGCGTATGTCTAACCCCAGGGGTAGTTTTTTGGGTCGTGGTGCTAATCGGAGGTTTGACAATAGCCGAAGCTATGGCCGCTTCAGCGAGATGGACTGAATCTGCTTTAACATTCCCACTATGATTGAAATAGGGGCGTAGCATCAAGCGCAGCGCTTCGTTAAGAGCATCCTTGGAGGGTGGCGCTACCGCAGCACTTTGTGTTGGATTGTAGAAATTGTGGCTAAACGGAGGTGGCTTTAAAGCACTTCGCTCAGTGGTGGTAATTGTCTCATCACCATAATCTGCATCGTCATACTCATCCTGATCATTGAAAAGATCGGGCACTTGGTTAGGCGGTGGTACCTTCTGCCAGGAGGTATTATGTGAGTGCGCCACACCCGCATAGGATGGACTATAGTGTGGATGAAGGACAGGCGTGGCATTGAGCACAGGTGGGTAAATAGGGAACGTGCGCAAATTCGAACGAGTCGTGCTAGTGGTAGGAATTGTTGTGGACTCTGGTAAGTTGGGTCGTGTGGGTGGCTGCAAGCCGCCATAGAGATTCGATTCATCATCCTCAGGCTGGGGCTGGCCACGATAAGTGGGACTGTGGTTGGCAGGCACAGTAGGGACTCGAGCAGGAGCTTCGGGATAAGTAGGATTCGATTGATCAACAGTTGTTTCAGTATCCGAATCCGAATCGGGTACATAGTCTAGATCTACTGGTCGCTGTCCTGGTAAAGCCGGAGCATGCGAGATCGGATGTAGGTGACTGGGATTAAAGCCAGTAGAAGGCTGACTTGGAGTTGGATTATAATCAAGGTCTAAGCGTCGTTGGCCTGATGTGCTGTTTGGCCGTAAATAAATTGGCTTAAAGCCAGGGGCATGAGGTGGAGGAGTAGGCGGTTGCAGGCCACCAAATAAATTTGATTCATCGGCCACCGGATGGCGTGGGCCATGAGAAGGACTTTGATTTGACGGGAGGAACGAATTAGCAGGCGCTCTGTCTTGTTCATCGGGCTCGTACTCAAGGTCTAAGGGTCGCTGACCCGCTATTGGACTGGGTCGTAAGTGGACATGAGGAGTGGGATTGTGATTGGAGAGTAGAGTGGGTAGAAGAGAATGGAATTGATCGCGACGCGTTTCACTAGGTAGCTGATCCGGCTCCGGTTGATAGTCATCTAGATCTAGAGGTCGCTGTCCACGTAGAGTAGGATTGTAGGGTCTATGTGGCCAATGCGAGCGACTGAAATTCTGTCGTGGCGATGGAGCAACTGCCTCTACATTGCCTGTGTTGGGCGACATGGGCGCAAGTGGTGCTTTATAGATGGCATTTGGAGTAGTTGGTGGATAATTACGATTGGGCAGCAATGAACCCTCCACATAGAGCACGCTCTGTGCGGGCGCCTGTTGCTGATAGAAGCTGCCTTGGCCCGACCAGCCATTCGACTGAGGCTGGCCAAAGCCTATGCCTGCTGGGCGATCCATATTCATATTACTCCAGCGATTGCCACTGGCCGTAACAGTTGTCTTAACTCCCGATCCACGGGCAAATTGATCAGCAGGTCCATGACTGGGCTGCACATAGGCCTTCGACTCACGATTGTCTGTAAGAGTTAAGGTTTATAATTATAATTTTGTAAATAAGAGATTTGGAGTAACTGATTGTTAGTAACCATAGCGCAGATCTATCCAACTGGAGGTGTCCTGATGGTAGCTACAGCGATCGTACTCGGGCACCTGACTGTCTGGCACACACAAACGGTGTGACACACTGAATACCTGACCCACAGGGCAACTATAAATGAACGCCTGTGCACTGTGAGATGCGCAGTTGATATATTTGTTCGGCTCTGTTGGATGCTGATATTTTCCGATCAAACCATAGGGACAATTTATCGTAGTGCTTCTGCTCAGACGATGCATCTGCTGCCACCATTCGTAGAATATGCGCAGTTCGTTCAGCAAGTAAACGCGATCAGAGCGCTGCACTTGCTCCACAGGCTGGCAGCGACGAAGAGATAGGCTGAAATGTAGGCCATCGGGGCAACTCTGCAAACGCGTCAAGCCCTCTCCACAGCTCAAGTACTTAGTGCAGTCGAAGGGATAAGCGTAATTGCCCACAGCACCATGCGGACAGCTAACAACTGCTAGGGGAAGAAGATTATCAGCAGACTTCTTTAAGTTATTCCCCAAATCACCGAACTCACATTCCAAATGCTCTTCTGCATAGTTAAAGGCCACACGATCCGTAACAGGCACAAGCTCTCCTTGCAAGCAATAGCTACGCGAGAGACTAAACACCTCACTAGCCGGACACTGTCTGACAACTGTGTGACCCTCCGAGCAGTATATATAGCTCCGAGCATCAAAGGGATGTGCAAAAAGACCATAGACCTGATCGGGACAGACCAAACGATACGAGTCCGCAGTGTCAGAAATAGCATTTGGATTGTAAATGATGTTAGATGGGGGCAGCGTTTCCTTAGTTCTGCCCGAACAATCCACTTTTTCAATAAAATCACAAACTCCGTTTACTGCATTAAGCGCTTTTCCAGGTTCACAGCTCTGAATAAATGTCTGTCCATTGGCGCAGTTTAGGAATTTAGTGCAGTCATACGGATGCGCCCGAACTCCACTAGCTCCAGGCGGACAGAAAATGTATTCATTACCATGGCCAGTCTGTTCATCAGTTTGCAATTCGCGATCCTCTTGATTTATTTGATTGCCTTGGTAAAACTCATGCTGTGTCTCTGTCAGATAGTCCACTCGATCATATGGAGCTACCAATTGATCCCGGGCCACACAAAGTCTTCGAGAAATACTGAAGACCTCGCCCTTGTCACAGCTCTCAATGGAAGTCTGTTGATCGCGACAGTTCAAGTACTTGGTGCAGTCAAAGGGATGAAGATAGTAACCCTGAGCATTTGCGGGACACGTAACAGTTGTGAGGTCTTGCATAAAGTTAGCTATGAAGGGAATACCAATGAGGATTGCATAGAAGCCAAAAAATAATCTCATAGTTCTTACTAGAAAGCTGACCACTTATATAAGCGTAATCCAGGAAATCATGAGAGGAGAGCTGCTGGCGAGCCGAGCATCTCTTTGTAGATAGACTGTAAACAGAGCCCGCTGGACAGGACTCAACCTGCAGTAAACCATTCTGGCAAAGCACGTAGTGGCCCGCATGGAAGGGATAGGCGTAGTTGCCGCGAAGGTTGACTGGACACGATTTCAATGCAGATTGAAATGCCTGACTATCTGTGTAGCTATAACTTCCCTCCTGTAAGCTTTGCTCTGAAAAGAACTTTACCCTTTCGGCTCGTGTTAATTGACCGCTTGGACGACAAGCGCGTTGAATAAAGCTATAAGCCATGCTCTCTCCACAATTTTGGATAGAGAGCTCACCCCCCGCAGCACAGCGAACATATTTGCTCGCATCGTACGGATAGAGATGATGACCATCCGTGCCCTCCGGACAACGAGTAAGCATCAGAGCTGAGGGAAGGAATACTCTGAATATATGAGGCGCTGAGAATGGAATGGCACTTACAATATTCGTTGCTTATCTGAGAAACAATGTAGGCCACATAATCTGTGTATACCAGCTGCGTCTTGGGCTGGCAATATCCCTTTGATATACTAAAGACATTGCCAAGAATACAGCTCTGGACAGCGATCTTTCCCGCCTTGCAGTTGAGGAACTTGGTTTGATCGAACGGATGAGCAAACAGACCCTCGACACCTCCTGGACAGAGTAGATCTCTGAGTCGGGCAGCAGCTAAGACGATTCGTTACGATTACAAGACAATTAAGGAATCAAGCAACTGCAAGCGCATGAAGAGCAATAGATGAGACCGAAACCCCAAATGAGAAGCGTATGAACTAAGCAAAGCGATTCGTATATAGAATAAATTATAACTTACAAGTGAAATCTGTGTGAGACGAAGAACTTCCAGTGGGAGTGCAGATCAAGCTGTGCCTATCAAATATCTCGCCATGTGGACATTGCTCCAAACGTGGTTTCACCCCAATTCCACATATAACATACTTTGAAGGATCATCAGGATAGAACACGTAACCCAGAGCTCCACTTGGACAGCTTGGTCCGGCTGATGACCCACTTGTTGATTCACCAGATGCTCCGATTGATGACCCACCTTGATGACCCTCAAACACGCCGGTGACACCACCACCGTAATTCTTCCTGCTTTGACCGGTATACAAGTAGCCTTGTCTACAGTCCACCTTATCTTTGAAGTCACAGACTAATAGAGATGGACTGAAGGCTGTTCCAGGTCCACAGTCCTGAATAAAAGTCCGCCCATTGGCGCAATTCAGGAACTTGGTGCAGTCGTGTGGATGGGGTTGAACTCCACTAGCTCCAGGGGGACAGACTACATCTTCATTACCATTGGTTTGGAGCTCGCGACCCAGATGAGCTACATTTTCCTGACTGAACTCATGTTGCGTGTCCGTTAGAAACTCCACTCGATCATAGGGAGCTACTAATTGATCTCTGGCCACACAAAGTCTACGAGAGATACTGAAGACCTCGCCCCTTTCACAGCTCTCAATGGAGGTCTGCTGATCTCGGCAACTTATGTATTTGGTACAGTCAAAAGGATGAAGATAGTAACCCTGGGCATTTGCAGGACAGGTAACAGTTGTGAGGTCTTGCATAAAGTTGGCTAAGGAGAAAAAGTAATAAAAATCACGAGAACAAGGACACACGTGATCTAGATCTTACTAGAGAGTTGAACGTTTATGTAAGCATAATCCAGAAAATCGTGGGGGGAGAGCTGCTGACGAGCCGAACATCTCTTTGTAGATAGACTATAAACAGAACCCGCTGGACACGACACCACCTGTAATAGACCATTCTGGCAAAGCACGTAATGGCCCGCATGGAAGGGATAGGCGTAGTTGCCACGGAGATCAGCTGGACACGATTTCAATGCAGATTGAAATGCCTCGCTATCTGTATACCTATAGCTGCCTCCCTGGAAACTGAGCTCTGAAAAGAACTTCACTCTTTCGGCTCGAGTCACTTGTCCACTTGGACGGCAAGCACTCTTAATGAAGCTGTAAGCTAGGTCTTCTCCACAACTTATGATTGAAAGCTCTCCTGCTGTACAGCGAATATATTTGCCCGCATCGTACGGATAGAGGTGAACACCATCCGTTCCCGCCGGACAGCTAGTGAGCATCAGAGCTGAAGAGACACAAGACGCTGGAGCTTGGAAGAGCTTATGAAGCTATAGAAAACTTACAATATTCGATGCTTATCTGAGAGACAAAGTAAGCCACATAATCTGTGTATAACAGCTGCGTCTTGGGTTGGCAATATCCGTTCGATATGCTAAACACCTGACCAGGAGAGCAACTCTGAACAGCAGTCTTTCCCGCCTTGCAGTTGAGGAACTTGGTTTGATCAAACGGATGAACAAACAGACCGTCGACGCCTCCCGGGCAAAGTAGCCCGCTGAACTGAACGGCAGCTGAGAGGATTCATTAGGATTATAGGCAAGACAAGCAAACAAGCTGCTGGAAGCGTATGAAGAGCAAAAGATGAAAAGGGATCCCCAAATGAGAAGCATATGGACTAAGCAAAGCCGTGCATAAACATATATTATACGTGGACTTCAACTTACAAGAATAATCGGCAGAGGCAGAGGAAGCCCCACTCACAGAACAGCTCAAGCTATGGGCATTGAATACCCAACCTGGCAGGCACTGCTCCAATCGTGGATGCACACCTGTTTCACATATGATGTACTTTGATTGGTCGTTGGGATAGGGAACTGGATCGCGAACACCTGGTGGACACTCAAGGCCAACCGAGGTACCTTTCACTTCACCTGGGCTTGTGTTAGTTGGGGAACGCTCTTTCGAAACTAAAGCTCGAACTCACCTTGGCCTGATGCTGCTCCACAATTCACTTTGTACTTGTAGTCGCAGACCAGCTGAGTTGGACTAAATGCCGTGCCAGGCCCACAGCTCTGAATAAAAGTCTGTCCGTTGTCGCAGTTGAGAAACTTCGTGCAATCGCTGGGGTGTGGCTGCAGCCCCCTGAAGCCAGGTTCACATCGCGGCTCTGAAGGACGCTCCAGCAGTCGCGACGAACGACCAGGCTGGCCCTCGCAGGACACTTGACTCTGGTGATCACATGTTTGTATGAGGGCATTAAATGCCGTGCCCGGTCCGCAGGTTTGTATAACAGGACGACCCTCGGCACAGTTAATGAAACGATGGCAATCGTGCTCATACGGCTTTAATCCTCGAAAATGGGACGGACAAGCCACCTGGTCTTGAGCTTGAGTCGTTGCTGATAACCCGGACTGCCCAACATTATAGCTGCCAGGCTGATGATAAGCAATCGTTTCAGCTAGCTAAAAAGACGCAATAAGAAAATGTTATTTGGGGGGAATTTCAGAAATAATACATACTATAGATCAATGGAGCAGACTTCCGATTCAATAGGCCAAACTAATTCATATCAATTAGGAAATATATGCATATATTTGCTTACGTTCAAGACGAGAAGCGACAGAGCCAGGCTCCAAGCTCTCCCAATCATTTCTTCAATTTATTTCCTATATATAGTTTATATATATGTATATAATATATATTTTAAATATGCTTTTTTTTCCACTGATAGCGCTTCGCCCGAAAAGTGATACGAATTTACTTATTTGTATTTTAGCTGCTCTTTCGCTGAGCTTCGAAGCTCGACTGAAGCACGGGCAATCTTTCAATTGGGATGCTGCCTGGTGCTGCATCCAATTGAATGCCGTCTTATCTCTGGTGGCAATCATCTAGACCTTTTGATAGGCGCTTATCATTTGTTGTGCTGTCACTTCTGCTACCCTGCAAACAGATGACTAATGGTCGGAGGAGTACAGAAAGTAACTGGGCACAGCTGCTTTTCTTATGAGTAGGTATAAAATTATACTCTCTCTTCTTAAACTACATTTCTCAAAGCAATTAAACTGTCTGATTGAGACTACAGAGTCTTAACTGCTTTGACAACTCGAAAAAAACCTATCACAGGGTAGCTCCAGCTCATGCTCTCTTAACTGTATCATTTTTAATTGTTTACAGGGTAGCTATTAGTCATGCCTACTTAAGTAGATCATTCTTAATTGTTGACATTTTTCTATGTTTTTTATGGGGAATTTCACACAGTTTATTTCTACAGAACAAGATGAGTCTGCACGGATGATCCAATGATTTACAATGATGCAGTCGCGTGGCTTTGTTTACACACTCTTTATGCTTACACATAACAAACAAACGAACTAGGCAAACTTAACAGAATGAATATATATATTTACAATATACAATATATAAGTCTAATGGCGCTCACTTGTTTGTCGACTTGTCAGCTGGCGCCTCTTCCAAGATTCTGGCCCGCTTTTGTATCTTCAGCCAGAGCTGATCGTACGGCTGCTCGAGCTCCGTTTGCGTCTTGGGAATGCCCACAGCTCGCCTCACTTCCGGCGAGAGCAACAGCAGATTTTGGGCCAAGCCAAAGGAACTGGAAGCCACCCAATAGACGCAAAGGGCTGAGGGTACAGTACAAGCAATGGGCACCATTAGTACACTCAAGCCTCTAAAGACATTATTAGCTATGTTTTGCAGCCGTGTTTGGGGACGCGTACGCGTCATTGTCTGGACCTCTATGATGGCCAAATTGATGAGGCCAAGTGCAACAGGCAGTATATAAGATCCATCTACAACTGTCAGATTGGGAATCCAACCAAAGCCTCCAATGGTTAGCTCCGTCGCTGCTATTTGTGCCTTCAACGATGTAGGATCGGGCAGCATATAAACCAAATTGCGCAAGGCGACCGATTGGCAAATCCACAAAGGTATTTGTCCCCACAACACAATGATTGTCTTCATGGGATGGCAATTATCTCGTATGATGAGTTTCTGCCATTGTTTCTTGATCTGCAAGTAGTTACGGTTACAATAAGCTTTGACACCTCATTCAACTACAAACCGATCTCCTGTAAACAACTGCCGTTTGCTTCTCGCTCCATTTGAATTTCTGTTTGGCCATCGCCGCCTCTCTTTTCAGCTCCTCTACTATTGCAGGCATTTCCAGGGCAATGCCTTCTATGCGTGCTGTGATCCTATGCTGATAAATGGTCAAAGGTAATGTCACAACACTGCGAAACAGAAATGTGGACAACACTATAGCGGACCACCAGGGTAAGCCACTATAATCATGTATTTGGATCAATGCATCCTGCACATAGGCCACCGGCGTGCTGTTCGATAGTGTTTGCCAGAAGCCGACCATGCCGCTGGCATTGGAGAGCTGTGCGGCAGCTGTAGCTGCTGCTGCCACTTCTGTGGAGGCATATCTCGTATGCATGTAACCATATTTAAATCGCCGACAGGCGCCCAACAGCAATGACATTATTCAAAACAAAATATCAACTTATTACCACATTCCGAGAAATGTGACCGTATTCTAGCAACGCTCGAAATACCACATACACAAACAGAAAAATACTAAAGATATGTTAGTTAACAGTGAATGCGCCCTGTTATGTGTAGAGATAAATTACAGTGCTCTGTATCTTAATTGGTCGATGTTGCGTCGCACTGTTCGGTCGCACAAAAAAGTAAAATTAACAAGTTTCATTCAATAGTAAAGAAAACGGATTTATTTGGGCTTATATAGTTATAGTTATGAATATACCCCAATGGCATACAATACCGGCGGTGGCACTAAATCAAATATTCGACTATCTCGATACTCGAGACCGCATATCTGCGGCCAATTGTTGTTGGGCATGGAGGCAACATTTTTTTCAAAGACGGTAAGTCCTAACAGTATTCATATATACATATATATATATATATATATATGGGTATTTACTTATACGCATATGCATATAAGCATAAAGGTATGCATGTGTGTGAGAGTGGCTATGTGTTTGTGGGCATTTTCGCTTTTGCGTCTCAAACAAACAAATTGGTGCTTCGCTAGGTGACGCACAGCTGTTTTGCCCAGATGCCAAACAAGAGGCGAGTGGGAGGGGCGCTGTGTTTTTCTATTTCGTTTTTTCTTGCTTCTGGCAATCCTTGAAAGACAACAAAGCATTTATTAATACGTGTAATAACAAAACAAAGCGCTGCCCCACTCACACGCACACAGCTGCACAATGAAAATGTTGCTATATCAATGCAAACATACACGCACACAAGCATATGTATGTATGTATGTAAATACATATGTGCTCAAACACACAGCTGATGTTGCTGTCAGAGCGATCGACAAAAGTTATCGCACAGCATGTTAAGTAAATGAAAAAAAAAATTATATACATATATATTTCAAGAACTATTTCAATGTCAAAGGCAGATTATACACAGCAAGTACGAAAAGTTATGGTATAAAATAAAATAATAATAAAAAGAGTGATTAAATGAAGTCAGAAATTTCGCAGAGTTTATTTAAACAAAATTGCTTTGATTATTCAATAACAATAATTTAAAGTTATTTCAATACTTATTCAGTTCAGTCAGTAATTTCAACTGTACGCATACATTTTCTTACCCACTGTAGAGTCTTTTGTTTATAATTTATTTGTTTAACATAATTCTGTAGGCATACTTTTCGTACTCGGTTCAAGCTGAAACAGAAATATTGTTAACAGTTTTATTTAACTTAATTTATTTTGAACTTTCGCCACGTCTGCAGATACTTTAGAAACTTTCGCTTTCACATTGACTTGGCTAAGGATGAGCAATTGGCGTTCTTCCATCGCAGCATGGCCAATCTGGCCAAGGAGCTGGTCATTGTCTTCGATTTCCACAATGCCTTTCACATACAGAAAATGCGTCGGCTGCTCTACAAGTAAGTGATCAACTAAACTCTACTTCAAATATCACTCTAATATTCTCTTTCATTTGGTTATAGGGCAGCGCGTTGTGATAACATTCGAGCGATACGTTTCCAAACAGATAATGTAGGCCTCGTCGCTGCTGGCAATATGCATAGTGAACATCTGGTTGCTATCGAACAGTAAGAAATCTCATAGATCATCAGCTCTGTCCCATTCGTTGCTAACGTCATTATAATCCTCTCTTTCAGATGCTTCGTGGAGCCCTTAAAGTTGATTTTGAGCCGCAAAAATCAAGCGTGTCAGATCTTGGATCTGGGTGCCATCGAAGCGCTTACCTATTATGGCCAGGACTTTCTAAAGACCATGGGCAAGCCGCAGGAGTTACTGCAGCTAACACTGGCCAGCATCAAATATGATCCTAGTCACTATCCCATACTCGGGCTGGATGCCACATTGCTTCAAAAATGTGCCGCCTTGCAGGTGCTCTCCCTGGACTACGATACGCTTAACGATGAGCTATTGCATACCATACAGGTGTTGCCGTTGCGTAAGCTACTCATTGTTGTGCATGGACTTGATCAGGAGGAGCATGGCGATGTCTCAGAGGCAGCTTGGTCAAATTTCTCAACACATTTCACGAGCATTGAGCTGGTGCTGACGCTTGTCTATGCCTATGAAGCTGTGGAGCAGCTGCAAATGCGCATTCTGCGCCGACACATGCCCGTCACTCACATTCGCATGCTCTTCTGTGAGTTTATGAATCATGAGGCACTCGATTGGATGTCGGTGCATAATAGCGATACTTTGCGCAGCATCTACTACATTGATTCGTTGAGCAAGCATTCCAATATGCGTCACACCAGACGCCAGGATCCCTTTGTCATGTTATCCTGGCGCTGCAAACAGCTCGAGGAGATCATCGTCCACGGTTACACCATGGATCCGCACAATTTGCTGGGCATCGCACGATTGCGCGGTCGGCAGTTGCAACGTCTCGAAGTATCACAAATCGATTGGCCATCCAACAACGCGGTTCAACCTCTTTTCAACGAGGTGAGTAGCTGTCTATAACTAATCAAGCTTTCAGAGTTCATTTACGAAATGTTTTGCAGGAAATGTGCACGTTGTTGGGTCAGCAATGGACGCGGGTCGAGCCCGAGCAGCTGCCTAACGAGGCATATGGACCAGTGGACTACGATATAAGGGATAAATATGTTTATGAATTGATGCGTCAGGATCTGAGCCGTTGAAGCACAACACAAAATCAAATGCAACCAAAAATCGAATAAAGCAACGTCATGCAACAGCAACAGCATCAGCACCAACAACAACAAACAGCAGAACAACATGACACGTGATCAAATCGAGCGCATAGAAATTTGTAGCGTTTAGAAAAACTTTTACGTAGGCAAAAAAAAAAAAAAAAACTTTAAAACAGGGAAAAGCTCTTGACTTTTCTGTAAAGGTAAAAAAAATGAAAAAGCAAACGATTTTTGATATGTATAACGTAAACACTTTAATAATTGGCAAGCCTTTGTACAACTAACAAAATTTATTTTAACTTTTGTCTTTCGTCTGCTAAACTAAGTAAATTTTAAAAATTTCAAATTATTTTGTTCGGCCAACACACACCCAAAAAAAAAAAAAAAGGAAACAAATATGAAAGAATATGTTAACGGGCATATAAAAGACTTGAGCACTTCAAAAATGCAAAATGTAAAACGAATTGTAAGCACACACTAACGGGCAGTTTGTTGTTAACATTATAATACTAGAAAGTTAGAAGAACAACAAACAGCGACACAAGTAAGATAGTTAGGACAGACGAGAAAATGTGAGGAAATGAATGGATGATATATAGAGAACATCATTTTATAAGCAACAACAACTGTGATTTAAAAAACAAAATATAAAAACAAAATGCAAGCAAGCAAGCAAAAGTGAAGCCAGTTACAGCAAACAGCCGCAACAACAACCAATTGTTAAGCAAATTGTCTAGTTAGCTAAGTAAAATATATAAAAAAGATTTAAAAAACAAAAACAAAAAAATCGTGTTGAAAATGTTTGTAAACCAAAAATGAAATGAAAAATAACTGACCAATGTCAAATTGTTAGCTCAATCAATTGGCGAAACAACAAAAAAAAAATTGTTAACTTTTGTAATGTATGAAAAGAATATCAAATGTAAAAAGTTTGGCGCTCCATTGTGATAAGACAACAACAACAACAAGAACAGCAACAACAATTGTAACATCAACAAGAAGATGAGCCATTTGTGTAGTTATCAAAAAGTGATATTAGCAGCTTATGTAAAGCATATTGTAAACAGCGCACGCCTGCAACATATATATATATGTATATCTATATAGCAAAAGTCCAGTTGGTGGGGCGTGTGCTGTAAAGAAAACTTGTTAAATGAGAGACATGCGTTAGCCAGAATTGAATTGAAATCGCGTAAAACCCAAAATGCAATCAATCGCAACACTTAAGTATTTTGTATTTTCGTAGCAACAGGCATTCATTTATACAATAACAACTACTATATATAGTTTACTTATGTTTGCACAAAACAAAACAAAAAGAAAAAGAAAAACAACAACAAACAAGAAATGTTAGTTCAAATGTTTGCCAAGACAATTGCCCAACAGGTGCACAGCAGCTGAGCAGCTAGGCAAATCATGTATATATGTATGTGTAAATGTATATATATATATATGTAAATGGTACCTGAAGATCACTTGAGCATTTAAGCGAACAACTCACAAATAACATTGCTCAAATTTAATATAAAACAAAAACAAAAAAGTAAATAAACGAAAGACTGAACAAAGGCTCAGCTCGACTTGACTTGGCTCTGTGGCAATTGTTTGATCAATGAACTATCAATTTGATCAACTGGCAAACATGCAGCAGCAGCAGCATCAGCAGCAGCAACAACAAAATGCGATCTCAATGAATGAAACAAAAAAACAACAACAACAAAGGAACACACTTTTACACTATCCAACCAGGTGTATATATAAATAACTAAAGCTAAATGGAACTATGCATGTATTTTTGTTATCAATAGCGAATATTAATTTGTAAAGTGAACAGAACCTTAAGCAATCGTCTATATGTGTGTGTGTGTATGTGTATGTATATGTATTTGTGTATGTACAACACAATGTAATTTAGTTAAGCCTAGTACATACCAACAACAAACAACAACAACTAAATGTGATAAACGTGTCATGCTGCTTCCAACAACAAGAACAACAAACAACAGCCAGAAGTGCACCAAAGATGAAACACATGAATATATATACACATATATAACTATATATCTATATATCTACCTATGTATGATCTTTAACAAAAGTGAATAATTGTAGCTCCGACCTTATTGTTTGAACAATCCAATGCAAAAGTATTACAATTCATTCAAAAAGCAAAAACACTTCCAAAAACGCTGCGTATGAGTAATGTTTCTTTTTCTATACAAAAAACGAACACTCGAAATGAGGAGAAAAACAAAATAAGTATATATATATATATATATTTTATATGCCATTTATTGTATTTAAAACAACTTTTTGTAAATCATTCCACTCACACGCACACACACACACACACACACAACACTAAGCTAACGTATGTATTAGAGCAAATGTAATGGGGAGCACTAAGACAAACAACAACAACAACAAGCAACAGCCAGTGCATTAAGAACAACAACAAATTTATATATATGCAAGTTATGCTTAAATAAGAAATAAATAACAAATAACATAAGCGCAAAAGTGTATAGAAGAAAGCTGTGATAAAAAACAACAAAAACAAATCCAACAACACAAAACACACAAACAACAACAGAGTAGGGGAAACAGTATGAAGCAGAAGAAGAAGATGAGAGTTTATAGAGTACACAAAAGCCAATGCGAAACATATGCGACCAACCAAAGGTTAACAACAAAATAAACAAACAACAAACAAATGTTTAAGAACAACAAGTAGAAAGAGAAGACAAATGGTAACAAGAAAAAAAAACAGTTGCTCGTTTGGAGTTTATATTGAAAATATGCAAAATATGTTAGCCTAGCGAAAGTAAAAACAGAAATTAAACAGCAAGAAGAGCAGTAAGAACAGATAATGAAGTGTTTAAGCAACAGCAACAACAACTGAGAAAAATGTGCACATAATGAAAATGAGAAAACTAATTATCTATGCTTAATTTTATGTCAAAAACTAAACGAAAAAAACTTTTTTTTAAGTGTATACTTTTATTTGCAAGCTTTTTAAGTTGTAAAAATTACAAAAAAAAAAAAAAATCTTAACAAAAAAAAAAAACATTTAAAGGTTCTATGAAAAGCCAATTAAATAAAATATTTAGAGAAAGCAACAAAAACGACAGCAATTTTTGTGGCATATGCAATATCATACATTTAAGCAAAGTTACAGCAGCAAAAACATAAAAATATATGTACACCACAATTAAAAAATTTATAAAAATAAAATGCAATAATTAAAAAAAAAGCAAAACAAAACAAACAAACAAATACTTCACAGTAGCATTGAAAATGTATCAAAGAAAATTCTAAATAAAATTCAATAAACCACGTTTCAAAACTTACTAAAAAACAAAAACGGCGTATAGATAGGAAGGGAAACAAAAATAACATTTTTTTATATGTTCTATATTATTTAATGACTATTTAGTTTAGAGTTATTATTCTTCTCTATACAGCAAATCTCTAAAGAATATCAATCTGGGAGCCGCACTATATATATTTGTATATTACTAATGTGCAGAGCAAACCCATTCTTTATCTATTTTTTACCTACTGTTATCTAGTTGCCTATATATATTTACCCAAACTCCCTTAACTATGTTTAATTAGGGTAAGTAAGCCCTAAGGTAACGCTTGTATACTGTCATAAATATATAATAAAGAGATACATGCA